GAAAGATTTCAAACTCAGCAGAAACCAATTTCACAGGCACATAAACTAGGAGAGGGGAGTGAGAGCAAGTAGGGGAGGTTGAAGAGAGATCTGAGAGTCCCATGTATAGCTGCCCTTTCATGTGCTTTGTTCCTGTCTCTTCCCACCCTGTTTTATCCATCATATCTGGGAGAGAAAAGTGCCAGCTGCCCAAAACACAAAAGAGAGGGACAGGAGAAAAAAAACAACTGTCCAGATCCACAGAGGGAGACACAGAGCCAGTGCCTGAATAGGGAGAAAGAGCTGTGTACTCACATAAAGAGAAACTTCACCCTCCAGTTCCCAACCAACTCGGCAAAGGCGTTGGAGAGGGTGACCTGCAGGCCCACGTTGGAGATCGGGGTAATCTTTGAGTATGGCAGGCGGAAATTGGGAATGCGCAGTCTAGAAATACATGAATAAGAAGAAAAGTCTTGTTACACTGCTTCCTGCCTCCCAAGCACAGGGCTAGGGAGGGAGGGAGTGAGACAATCAGGGAGGGAAGGAGGGTGAGTGGCAGGGAGTGGAGTCACTGCACTGGCAGCATCCCCAGCTGCAGTTCTGCAGACAGGATGGTCCTTACTGCTTCATGAACTCCCCACCATCTCCACTCCTGCTGCCCATTGCTTGGGTTAGGGACAGTGGGTGGCTCCAAGGTACTGGCAGGACTCACCTGGACAGCTCATAGCGCACCTTCCCTGATTTACCCGACATGTCTGGCAGCTTGAGCTGGGCCAGCTCCTTCTCCAGGATCGCCATCCCCTGCTGATTGGCTGCAGGAACACAGGGAGAGCATCACTCCACCATTGCCACAGGAGCTGGAACAGGCATGCAGCAGAAGGATCGAAGGAAAGATCCAGGTGATGCTGCCTCCCAGGCTGGCTTTAAAGCAAATTTCCATGCACAGAGCCCTGTGAGCACACAGGCATTGCTGCCTCGTGCCCTGTTTGCAGCCTCAGTGGAAGGTAGTGGCCACAGAAAGGAGAGAGTTGTCCCACTCCTCAGTCTGCAGACTGTGCACTGGGTGAGATCTGCAGGAGGGCCAAGGCACCAGCCTGCTGTGTATTTCTCATACAGTGTATTTTAAT